CCAACTTTAGACAGGCAGACCAATTCAGATATTTTATTCTCACCAGATCAGCTCTGAAAAAAATGTGATATGAACAGATCTGATGTGATTGGTCAAAGTGGAAATAATATCAGAATTGGGCTGCCTGTCTAAACATGGCCTTAGGCTTATAATTGAAATGGAGTCAACACCTATCCTGGCTTATTTCAAGAAATTACACTGGACACAAATGCTCAATGTTCACTGTTTATTTGTTCAGTTTAAGGTCACAAAAAAGAAAGAAAGGCTGACATGGATAATGTTACAAAAAACATGTGAAGGCTTACATGGATGTAGATCTGTAAATAAATAGAATATGAATGATATTAATAAGAGTGCAATACTACACCGTCACAACTCAATAAAACCCTAGCTAGAACCCAGTACCTAAATCTCTCCAAAGGCACTAGCGTGGCAAGCGTAAATGTGGGACAGGCCTACACACAAACATCTGGAATTATATACCCATTTGCATTCTAAAATATTCCACATGGCTGAATATTCCACATGGCCAATTTATAGAACATACAATTATAAATGTTGCAGTATCATTTATGTAAGCTACTGTATACTTACCACTGAGATGGTAATCATGCTGATTCCTCATAAGAAAGATTATTCGATTTCTACAGAAGTTATTTGCTAAAGTTGGTACTAAAATGCAAAAAGTGCACCAGTATATAGTTTATTTTCATCAACATTCCAGGCAAGAAAGCACACTATATGAGTGATATCCTATTGTACTTATAAATTAAACTATGGAATATACACTGAGTGCATAAAACATTAAGAACACCTGCTCTTTCCATGACATAGACTGACCAGGTGAATCTAGGTGAAAGCTATGATCCCTTACTGATGTCACTTGTTAAATCCACTACAATCAATGTAGATGAAGGGGAGGAGACAGGTTAAAGAAGGATTTTTAAGCCTTGAGACAATTGAGACATGGATTGTGTATGAGTGCCATTCAGAGGGTGAATGGGCAAGACAAATAATTTAAGTGCCTTTGAACGGGGTATGGTAGTAGGTACCAGGCACACCGGTTTGTGTCAAGAACTGCAACGCTGCTGGGTTTTTCACGCTCAACAGTTTCCTGTGGGTATCAAGAATGGCCCACCACCCAGAGGACATCCAGCCTACTTGACACAACTATGGGAAGCATTGGCGTCAACATGGGCCAGCATCCCTGTGAAACACTTTTGCCACCTTGTAGAGTCCATGCCCCGACTAATTGAGACTGTTCTGAGGGCAAACTGTGGTGCAACACAATATTAGGAAGGTGTTTCAAATGTGTTGTATACTCAGTGTATATAACTTCTAAAACTCCTCTTTAAAGAGTATCTTAAAAAATCCCCACACCAATGGCACCTACTACCATACCTCGTTCAAAGGCACTTAATCTTTTGTTTTGCCCAATGGCACACATACACAATCCATGTCTCAATTATCTTAAGGCTTAAAATGTCTTCTTTAACCTGTCTCCTCCCCTTCATCTACACTGAAGAAAAATGCAAATGTATTTTCCTACTAAATCAAATCAAATCAAATTGTATTTGTCACATGTGCCGAATACAACAGTGAAATGCTTACTTACAAGCCCTTAACCAACAATGCAGTTTTAAGAAAGAATACCAACAAAAAATCACAAAAAAATACAATATAAAATAATGCGAAATAAAAGTAACAAATAATTACTTGCACTAACTTTGCTGATAAGTACTTTATTGAGGGAAAATGTACTTGCTACGATTGTGATATGTTGTCTCACCTAGCTATCTTAAGATGAATGCATAAGCGCATGTGCTAAATTACAAAAATGTAAATGAACAATGAATACCCATTCACAGGAATACAAGGTATTGCTTTTTTTAATCATGATTTTGTTTATTACTAGTAGGCTAGTATTAGCCTATTATTACTATTACCAGTATGGTACTATTATAGTAGCAGTACTAGTAGGAATAGTCGTATAGGTCTATAGTGGTTGGCTCCTTGCAATATATTATTTGAGATGGGGCTCATTTGTCCATGAAGCTGTAATGTGTAGTGTCTATGTGTAACTATATGAGTAGACACAAGAACATAGGCCTACAGGTCACAGTCAAAGAGCAGTCTTGGAGATATTTTTCACTATTTTGCTGCATTTTTGCTGATACAGAGGAACATATGGATAATGTGCATTATATGCAGGCTGTTTGCCTACCACCCTATTTATATTTTGACACATTTGTTTACAGAATCTCTGCAATATCCCTACCACCAAGATCATAAGACAATGAAGATCATAATAATTGAAATTGAGATATAAACAAAGTTTAGGCTTATAGGAAATGCAAATAGCCTATTTCCATCTACTTTTACGCATAGCATACAGCATTTATGCTCACGAATAGTAGCCCAAACCAAAAGCAATGCTCATGGTAAACGTTTGGCTTTGAGATACATTATTTTTTATATATAGGTTAACAGTTAATCTAGATATTAGGCCTAGGCCTAAAATAATCAAAGGGAAACAATTATCGATAATAACATCATATTTTATTAAGTTGCATTTTGATTGGCTATTGACAGTTGCATTGAGAATAATATTGATATTATCTTATTCATAAATATATATACGCAGTAATTTCTCATCTGTGTTAGTGGTTGTGTGTGTACTTGACGTCCGCTGACCATCATTGTTAACGTTGGTTCGCAGATGCCAGTAACATATAGCAAGACAACCGATTATCTAGGCTATACAACAGACACAATCTATCGCCTGTCCTTATAAACATTTCCATCTACTCATCAATTTTTGCAGATGAAGTCATGGCGACCTCAGTCCGTGACATACAGTATATACCTATATTCGAGCCCCTGTAGGCTACAAGTATAATTTGGATAGGAACCTACCAAATTCTAATGTTTACATTGTATTGTGATTGATAGGTCCACCAACTGAACATAAGCCTCGACCTACCTTTTTCCAAGATTTGGTGTTTGATATACCAGTTAATATAGCTTTTGATGATCAGCATGGCACAAGGCTACATCGTGTCCAGCAAATTGTATTTTAACATCTTAGGCTGATCATTTAACAAAGGCGAATGATTCAGTTTCAGATTGGATAAGACGCCAATGTTTGTTTTTTGTTTCGTCAACAACAGTCACAGAGTCGTAGCTAATCTGTAGGCCTAGTTGTTAGGCTTATTGAATCGATTAATTGAAATGGCTTAATCCAGTTGGCCATCTTTTCCATGAGGTTTCAAAAGACAGCATTGTAAAAATACAGGTGTTATTGCAGTTGTAGTTTATTGCATTTCTGAAAAGAAGGTGACTTGAGCCTTGGTACCCTATTTTCCGTGAAAAGAGAGAAATGCAGATTGACGTGTTGCGCCAAAGGGAATTTTGTGCCTAGCCCAGACTGAATGACAATGACTGGTCATCCGACGCCCAAACACCGCACTGTGGAGTGTCCTAGTATATCATGCATGCCACCTTGGCTTAGGATAAGTTATATGGCCAGTTTCCTATAATATAGCCTATAATTTCCCCAATGGATCATTATGAATAGTAGCCAATGTTACTAACAAACGTATATAACTTTCCAGATTTAGGCTACCCATACCAAAAGTATCTTAAAGAGATAAGGTGGCAATTGCAGGTTTGTTATTTTGGTAAGGTTATTCAATTGATTTATTATGCTTTATTTTCCCTGATGACCACAACTTAAAGTTTGAGGTTGGGAGGTGCATGTGTAGTAGAGTATGCACACAAACTTGTGGGCGCGAAACAGCAACAGTCAACACCCAAGAGACGAGAACAGTGTCACCCTTAACTGTACACCAGATATACCGCAATATTACCACTTAAACCCAACCTAAACTGGACTTACACCACAAGGCACTCTGTCATATTATTAATAGGGACTGACTAGCCTACATTATCAAAAATACACTATGTTGTGGTAGGTCTAGGCTACTTGCTGTTATCGACACACTATCCACCAACATTTTATTTTATGGATAGGCCTATGTCTAGGCCTACTCTGACTTGTCCCTCAGACCAGCATGTGAGTTTTTTCCTGCATTAAATTGTTGTGGAATGTTGTTGTTTTTATCTTGTAATTCATGCAATAGTTGTAATTTGCTTCTTGTTCTTTGTCTATGTTGGATTTATGTTTATGCGATAATGTTAATTAATCGGTTGTGTTTTTTTATTAACGACACGTTTATGAACAATCAAATTGTCCTCATAAACATTTATTGAAGGACATAAAAACATGAGCGGCCTCTATCCGAATTAGGCAGCAGTGGTGGGCAAGAGTTCCGAATCTCTACACAGACACAAAGTTTTAGACTCCATTAACTGGTATTATGTGTTTTTACAACATAAAAGCCTCAAATATGTGGGGTATATTATTATATTATTGGATCTTTAATCTCTTTTTGCTATTGCGCACGTTACAGCAATGTTATTAACATCGAAGTCCACGGTGCATTAAGTTTGGAATTATTGACAATTCTAAAGGAAAAAGGCAGTATTATTTTCCAAAATTGTTTTACTTTAAGAATATCCCTCAAATTTCAAAGTGTTATTCAAATTATGGTCGAAAACGACAAATTACGTCGAGAAATAGGGCCTAGTGGTGCTCTGTGATCAACGTACCTCATGCTCCAATACGAGGGGATATAGCCTACCGTTCTCCATGTTTTTATGACAAGGAAAAACGAAAAAATGATAGGTGGTGAATCCGTCTTAATGATTGCTCATACAATATAAATCATGTACATAAATAGCATTCAAAAATCTGGGGTACATCACTGTCGTAGGAGTGCATGCGCATTAATCGAATGTAGAATTTTGGGGTAAATATAATCACGTGTTCAGCGGTGGCCAATGAGAGTCGAAGAACCCCAGGATAAATAATTACCTGGCTTGATTGTTCTAGGGGTAAGATTTTTTTTAAGTATACATACAGTCCATATAATAATCTGATGCATGTAAAAGAGACGAGAGGCATCGTCATGTCGACCACGGGTCCCATAAACAATTATTATGTGGATTCTTTGATAAACCATGAGAGCGAGGATGTGCTGGCGTCGCGGTTCTCAGCCCCAGAGCTTCTCCCCACCCGTTGCCGACCGACGACACTAGTAGCGGAGTGCTCCGAATATCCCTCCTGCAGTTTTGCGCCGAAACCTCCTGTCTTTACCTCCTCCTGGGGCCCAGTTCACTCCAAGTCTTCAGTGGTCTACCACCCATACACCCACCAACCTCACATTGGAACGGACTCGAGGTATGTTCGCTCATGGCTAGAGCCCATATTTCCAGGCTACCCTGCGAACGGTAGACACTACGGACTCAAAACGGATGGTTTTCCTCAGCCCGGTGCCGGAGACTGCATCGCTTCCAACGGCCACGGATACCCGGATTACTTCTACAACACCTCAGTGGACATCCGAGACAAGACACAGCAGATCATCCCTTCTCCAGAGTCGGAGGTTTTGGCTTCCGGAAAGCACAAAGACGACAAGCCAGAATTCGATCCAAGTAAGTGAAAGCCATGGCAGTTTACGCTGGTTTACAACCGGCTATTGGAGTCGTTTGTGTGTGGGTGAGGTGGGGGTGTTCGTCTTCCATTGGGTTTTCGCTCGTTGTCTGTTGTCCTACTATAAAACGAAATTATCGTATCTTTTCCCTTCCCTTTGAACGGGAGGGAACTGGGGGCTGTTAGACAGTGTTAGACAGGACAAACGCCAATCCCCTTAAGGTTGTAAAATGGGAAGAAGCTATAAACGGCTATAAAATGGGGAAACTCTGGAAACAAGCTTTTCAATGACGAGATTAGAATCTCTAGTAAACTACACTGTCTTACATGGCCTAAACTTGTGCGTAAAAGCATTTATTTTGTGCGTGAAATAATATATTATTTTACTTAGATACATTTTAGGTGGTATGCAGGATTTATACACGAGGTGTGGCCCTATAAATCATAGAACTTGTGTTATAGTGGATTATTTATTAATGTATTATTATTACCATTATTATTATTATTTGCATTCTGGGTTAATAGGCTACGATTGAAATGCACATCCATAGGCCTAAAGGCTAATACAGCTTGTAGAAACGACCAAAGCCACCATGGCTTTTATCTGCAGTATGATTATAATAGCTAGTCATTTCATGTAAATCTATACTGGTTTATTGCCCCGTGTTATTTAGTCAATAATGGCTTATTTCTCACGTGAATATTCAAAGTTCTGCTACAACCGAAGCCGAGTAGCCTAAGTCACAAAACATAACGTTGAGATACAACCTATTCAGCGAGGACCCGAACCATTGATATTGACGTCTTTATATCAGTACTTAGAAAAACATGACAACACCGAGCAAACTCCCTACAATAAACACACAACATAATATTTTAGGCCACAACAGGAATGTCAGGGTGAAATGCATCTAGCTGTCTCGGTTGCAGACCTGCCGAGACTTGAAACTAAAGGCTTTTAAAATCATTTATGGGCCAATAAAGCAAACGGGCGTACTCACAATTTTACGACTCGGTCCTTTTCTAGCACTGTTGACGCTCTTAAAATATGGATGTCTATAAGAGAGATACTTATTTATAATTATTAAGGAAAACATTGATGACACACTTGACAATGTACTGGATTATATTGAACCAGTCTTATTGTAGTTTTAGAAAAACAAGAGAGTAGGTCTGATGCTCTCTGTTTGGTTTAGTGTGTGTTGAAGTGTTTATGATAATGCTTTTAAAGTAGCTTATAGTTTATACACTTCAAAAGGTCATCAGAAGTGTTCCATTCATTTACTTTTTTCTCTGTCCTATCCTTTTACAGGCAACCCGGTGGCAAATTGGATACACGCTCGTTCAACAAGGAAGAAACGGTGTCCATATACAAAATATCAGACTCTCGAACTCGAAAAGGAGTTTTTGTTCAATATGTACCTTACCAGGGACCGTCGATATGAGATCGCTCTGGTTCTTAATTTGACCGAGAGACAGGTCAAAATTTGGTTCCAGAATCGGCGGATGAAGATGAAGAAAATGAATAAAGAGAAGACAGAAACTCATGAGCAGTAATGTGCCCTATGGACACATTGACTCGTACACATTCAGAAAAATCCCACTCATGGACTGTGGGCGGTCTCGCCTCTTGATAGCTACTATTTTCCTTTTTGATCTGATATAATTAAGCTATAGGCCTATTCTTGGCAAAGTAGCACAGTGCAACTTAGGCCCACGCCTCAATATGAAAGTATGCAGCTTGTTTGGACTATTTATTCTTTATTACGCCTACTGTTTCATGTCAAGACCCACGAATGGGACATTGGTAAAGAAAGGTAGCCTTTAAGGTGAAGTTGGATAACTGTGCTTGAATGGTGTTTCATCTGTTCATGTGTTTAACAAAACCTGTTGCATCTTATTCAAGTGTAAATTAGTGTTTTGTACACGAAAATACATCAACGTACATGGAACGTATGTCTGTGTTTTCGTCTGTGAATATACATTTAGTAATTTGTTTTTTATATTATTTTCTCTCGACACTAGAACTTTATGTTTTACTGTAGATTGTGTCCATCTTTAAATGTATTCCAAATAATCTCCTTTCCTGTATTTGTTGTGTCATTCTTATTAAAAACGTAAAAAAATCTTACCTTGATCAGAAATATTAACACATGCAAAAATGACACTGGGAGAAGGCTTGACAAGATGGTAGTGTTCAAGACGCAGTCAATTGTTGTTAGGAGATTAGTAATTCAACAATTCAAATAGGCTACATACTAGAGTTAGATATACAGACCACTCCTTATTGAAAGCAGCTGTGACTTTTAACTCATTATTCTTCCTTTTCTATTTCCTTTTATAATGCACGTTTCCTGACCACTTCCCAATATGAATGGTTCTGGATGAAAAATGAGGTGACATTTGAGGCCCTGTGTAAACTCATTGCTCAGAAAGCATCACGTTGCTTCCTTTATACGTGTTGTCCATTCATAATCATTTCAGATTGTTGCAACCACTTCAAAGAATAGCTTTTAGGTTGATATTCTGGCACTGAAACATTTTCTGTAGCACAAACGTCCGTAATCTGTCTAGGCCTGGCTATATTTTTAATTAGTGGTCAGTTAACAAAACATGCCACACAGTATAACTTCATTATTGAGACTCAGGTATAATAAAGCCCTCTTTTTTAGGCCAGAGTGCATTGAGAGTGCATTTCATGCAACCACGTTGTATGGGCCTATCTCCATGTATGGCTTTAGTCCGTGCGTAATTTCAAACAAGGTGTAGGCTAGTTCACAACAAAGGTTGTTAGATCTTGGACCACGTGAGAATATAGTTTTTTCTTAGCCTTCTTGTGCCTAGTGACTCCCCTATATTATAATCAAAATGTTGGCTATATGAGTGTTGTTGTCACAGCACAAATCGTGAATATAGGGACTACACATTGATGACATTAGGAATTAATTTGCAACAGGGCAATGCGTAATGCAAACTATCGGTCACTGATTCGAGACTATTGTGCGCCGAGCAGTGCGCCTATTATTTTGGTCTGCCTGAGTTTGCGCTCTATGTTGCAGTTTAGATGGGTAATAATGGTCATGTGTCGTGGGTATGTGAGACATATTAACCCACAACAAACTGCGACAGATTTGTTCACCCTCTTTATCATGGTGCTATTTTTGGACACCTTGGACACCACACTAATTTGCCTAGTCATATTTTGCGTTCAATCAGTTCATTTGAGAGGGTGTGTGAAGTATATTGTCTGGCGTTTATTTGTCCTTCTTGGTCGCGTTACTAAATTGGCTTTCCCCTTAAAAGGTGCCACAAACAATACTGACAGGATGCAGAGATTTTAGAGCGCGATATAGTTGGACATTTCCCTCGCGGAGCACAGGGAAATGTGGGGTTTTACGACCCTGCTTCGTGCAGCGCTGTTTGTCTCGAATGTAATCTAACAAAGCAAACCTGGCAGAACTGGCTAGACGTCTGGAGTAAATTACTTTATTGTTCTTATTTGAGGATTTGGTGTGCTCGTTTTAAAGGAGGCTTATTGCAGTTGTTTATGTCTGCTGCAAACGTGACTAACGCCCGCTTTATTTTTCCACTCTGCGTGTGGCAGAGGGGGAAAGAGCAACACATGAAAGGCCCCAAATTCCACTTTATTCCAAATCTAGCACATCGCACCAATATTATGTTTGAACACTGGCACTGTCCCCGGTTTAATGGACATTTCCGTTAATCTGAAATAGACTCGATTGAATTCAACCCATACCCATCTGTTCATGATTTTGGCCTATATATGACTTCTGTATAGCCTATATATGTCCACCATACCATCATTTCTAGTTTTGCTATGACCATATGCCAAACATTATGACGACCGCTTTGACATATAAATGTTATGCTCATTGCTCATTATTAATTCGTTATCATTTATACTTTCACTATTACGCTATAGGATTTTTTTTAATCTTTAGAAGAAGTTAGCAAATAGCAAGCTACCAGCAGTAGCAATAGGCCCGGTTGTGGCAGAAGCATTCTATAGATATGATTCATACTGGCATATATTTTAATTATAGGCTACCAATTACTGTTTAAAATCTATAGCCCATCCAATCTTCCACTATCATTATATAGCCTACCATACAACAACAACAATAGTAGTATAGCCTAATAAATGATAATAATGATGATGATGGTGAAGTCTATAATAATAATAATAATAATAATGATGATAAAAAATAAAACATAAATATTTAAAAACAAGTTTCAACAATGATTTCGTTTTTCTGTCTTTGTTTTTTTGTCTAAATGTCAATTGAATTGTATTTCCTATATACAATATTATTGTGTTGTCCATTCCCATTTTGTTTTCGTTCGGATGAAGGCCATTGACTGCCGAAATGTCATTATTTTAACTTGAATTAGATAAATAAAGCATCAATATTTTAATTGTGAGCGAGAGTTGCACCTATTCCTTCCAAATTGTCTAAATGTCAAGAAATGATTGTGGATCATAGTGTAATCATGCCTGATTGAAATATAATTGCCATGTACTACTACTTCACAGTCTCAACATTAATCCTGACCCAAACCTTGAAGAAAGAGTAGGCCTATAATTATAAAAGTTGAGGACACGAAATAAAATGTGTACTTTTCAAGAAACCGAAGAGACTGAATCTTCTGCCAAATGTGTAGGCCTAGCCTATATTTCACGAAATCATAGACTCTCATGGTTACGTGAAGTACTGTAGGTCTACCACTAGTCCAGTTAGTGCAGTACAACACACAAAAAGGCCACACGATGTCGCTGTTGACTAAGTATTGAAAATGTTCGAGCCCGTGTCGCCTGTTCACCTTTTGTGTCGGAAGCTTTGGGGGACTGGAGGTAGATGGTGTCCTTACAGGCTAGGCCTTTGGTTAGGCCAACTAGTCACAAATGTAGAGATGAACAGCCAATGAATATAATTGAACAACCAACAGGGCCCGTTTTCTGTCAATAGCCTAGCTCTTAATAATAGTCTACATATAACTTTTACGGAGAATAAGTATCTTTCTTCACTACACTATGGGCAGTAGTTATCTAAGATATGCCAACACAGTATATTTTTAAAGATCGATAGACCAATTTATCTAGCCTATGTCTATCTACGCTCATGTATCTGTCTGTCTCTCTCTATCTCTTTTTTTCTTGGTGTATTATTAGGAAGAACAATTATTTTAGTTATAACTGATTAATTCTCTTTTATCGTTATGTTTTATGGATACACCTGCTATGGGCTCAAAAGAACATCAGAACATCTAGGCCTAACTTAATGTCTAATGTCTCGTCTTTCTTATTGTAAACATATTGTAATATTTGTATTATGTTTGCTTTAATGAAAGACAAAATAATTAAACCAACAACATTTATTTAACTTTTATTTTCATGAATAATCATGTAAGTCACGTACAATAATACATCAATGTCATCAACAACTATTAAAGCATTATAAAATCATTCTGGCAATAGAAAAACCATATAATACCAAATGTTTACGCTGTGTTATTAGCAAATACAATTTTGCTACATGTTAACCATCTCAACTCAAATATTTTATTTGCAATAGGCTATAGTCTACAATACGGTTTCTGAATTTCACTGCCACTGGGTGTACGGGTGTAGGCTGTGTGCGCGCACGTGTGTGCGTGAATGTAAATTATTGACGTAATGCATAAACCCTGCGTTTGCAGTCAGGATAGTTTTATAAAATCACTTTCGTAAGAGCAATAAAGGTAGGCCTATGAACTAGAGAGGGATGTCTAGATTGCCATTTTTCGTGCTTAGAAGTGTACCACTACTCTTTCAAATAGATAATGCATAGCCTATAAGACCAAACAAAAGGATAGTTGACACATAGGCCTAGTTTAGGCTACATAAAATATTTTTTTATTGTTCTTTAAAGCAAAATGCACAGTTCCTTTCTGCTTGTCTGTTTCAAAGTATAGACATCCGAGCACGCCGTGAGAATGGGAGGGGGTTGACGGTTGGTGGGGAGAGAGGAGGGGGTCGGTGTCGCGGGGGGAGGGGAGGCGGGGGGCAAAAACGCTTGTGACTGTGTGTCGGAGGGGCTAGCCAACTTTAGCTATAGCACACATCAACCATTCACGACATAAGAAGCTGATTTGAAGCTGCAAAACGAAAAAGCAAGAAAAAGCAAAGGACTTCCATTGGTAGCAGGGCAGTGCTGGAACAGAGGGGTGGTGAATAAGGAAACAGGCTTTATTATCTTATTCGTTAAACCTGTCTCTATGATTTTGTGGTTCCGTTCGTTTTATGTATGGGGTTTGGAACAGGACTAAGGCAATAGTTGGAATGGTCGTAAACCAAGTTTCTTTAGCTGTAACATTGTGAACAGAAAAACATGAGCTCCTATTTTGTGAACCCTCTCTTTTCCAAGTACAAAGGCGGTGAAACGTTGGAACCAACTTACTACGACTGCAGGTTCCCTCAAGGCGTCACCCGGAGCCACGCGCTGGTGTACGGTGCGGCGGCGCCGGGCTTTCAGCACCCGCCCCATCACGTCCAAGACTTCTTCCACAATGGGACGCCGGGGATCTCCACACCAAGCTACCAGCAGAATCCATGCGCCTTGGCTTGTCATGGAGATGCCACTAAATTTTATGGATACGAAGCCCTTCCGAGACACACGCTATATGGCACCCAACAAGAGGCGAGCGTGGCGCAATACCCAGACTGTAAATCGTCAAATGGCACTAACCTCCGAGAAGGACAAGGCCACCTAAATCAAAACCCGTCTCCTAGTCTCATGTTTCCATGGATGAGACCGCACGGTTAGTAGGCTACGTTTTAATATGTGTATTACCCATTTAGTGCAATTATAGACTAGTGACATTATAGTGCTATGCTTAGCTAGGCTACTTGTGTCTTTATGTTGTTGTACTTTTCATGGCATGTAGCCTACATCTGCTAATGTATGATTACGTTTTCGGATCATCACTTATCACTCAGTAGAACTCATCGGTTAACCGTGGCACAATGATTCACTCTAATCAGACCTTAGCTACTTTGCTTACAGGCGCAAAAATACCAGTTGATCTGAGTCAGTGTTGTGCAATTCACGGCGGCTCAGTGGATTGCTAGTAGTAGATGAGAAAATGAGCAGAGATTAATAACAACAATAAAAACGAATTCAGTGAAAGTTCAGCAGAAACACTTGGCATGGCATAAATACAGCTAGGCTATAGTCTTGGAATGTCCTGTAAACATAAGGTCACCAATATACAGTGGTATGGTTGAATGTGGATGTCACCAACCTCTGGTATACACAGGCAGGTTTCAAACAAGAATAGGTCTGCGAACTATCTCCCGCACACACAACAACCTCCGGCACAGACACACATACACCGGCACACACACACATACACCAATCAATCTCCTATAAAAAATATAATAGCAGTGTAAACTAATAGCATACAGGTCTTGCGACGATCCCTGCTTAATTGTAAGTGCTATTTCCATTCTATAGCCCCCGGAAGACGCAGTGGCCGACAGACCTACAGTCGATACCAAACACTGGAGTTGGAGAAGGAATTTCTCTACAACCCTTACCTCACCCGTAAGCGTCGGATAGAGGTGTCTCACGCTTTAGGGCTGACGGAGAGGCAGGTTAAGATTTGGTTCCAAAACCGACGGATGAAGTGGAAAAAGGAGAACAACAAGGACAAATTTCCGGGCCAAAGAGGAGAGGCGGAGGCCGAGGGAGAGGCAGAGGGCGAGGGTGAGTGCGAAGATGAAGGCAACGATGACGGTGAAGGAGAAGGAGACAAAAAGGAAACAGGAGAGGAAGAAGACACGAAAGAGTGATTTGAATTGCTATTTTTTTATGATTATATGGCTTAAAAGTTGAAAGATGGTAGAGAGAGAGAGATCACATTTTATGACCACCGTTTTATTGAGTCAACAAGTAATAAAAATCCTTTAAAGACACATTTAAAAATATATTCCATGATACTGACGACGGATCAGCTTCTATAGAGATATTACCATTTATGGCTGCACATAGGCTATTGAGGCAGCTTATTATGCTTACCCATTTTACATTTTAGTCATTTAGCAGACGCTCTTATCCAGAGCGACTTACAGTTAGTGAGTGCATACATTTTCATAATAGACCCCAGTGGGAATCGAACCCACAACCCTGGTGTTGCGGGTTCGCCATGCTCTACCAACTGAGCCCCGTATAACCAATAATAATGCACTATATCACAAATTGGGCACATCATTGCGCAAGTTGTCACACATCATGAAACACATAGAGGCAAAAATTACAGACAGTAGCCTAGTCAATAGAACTCAATTGATTCAACATGAAATTGATTTCAGTATGATTAAAATAGCCTATATAGGCTAATCTAGCCTATGTATATTTTAATTCAGTCATCTCAGTTTTCATTTGAAGCATAGTTTTATCCTTCACTTGTTTGTAACAATTGCAAATACTTTGGCAACTTTGTATTTGTAGTCAACTTCTTTCTGATGTTAACAGCAGTCACAGTCAGACAGATAGCCTAAACATCTTGATTCTATGTTTAGCGAAGATCTGCTGTGAATAACGTTACGCGGAAGGGCAAAAAAAGCATCTAACGATGCACTTTGGCTGCTCTACGAGTGGTCTGGATCACTCCTATACGTACGAAAGTTGTTAAGAGCCACGTTACTAACGAAGGCTCTGGGAAACACCTCGGCTACTAAAGATACATCATAAGAAGGTTCTAATGATGATCTTAACGCTACGAAGGCTTTGGGAAACGAGGCCCAGCTCTGTATTCCAGCAAATAGCTCTCTCTAGGAGGATAATCACTACTTATAATATCTAGCTTAAAACGTTGCAAAGGCCCACATAACATAAAGACAAAGCACTTGCAAAACACTCATATGGTCCACAGAATGCACAAGCGGAGGATGGCTAGAAATGTTTCGATGTTCAATCAATGTTGTCATTCGAGGAAAATGGTTCATTATTAATACACATTCTTTGTACTTTTTGTGTTTTGTTTTTCGTCCAAAGTATTATTTATGTGGATTTGTATGTTTATTGGGGTGATGGGAGTTTTTTTATTGGCCACTGTCAATTCCAAATTGGAGTCATGAGTAGTCTCTATAATGTGGGAAATTGCAATATGGATTCTTGGTTAGAAGGTACATTTCATAAGGGATATTTCATATTATTGTCTCAAATATACTAGTGTGTGTATTGTAATGTATTTTTTGTAAACATTGTGAGCTCTGAGCTTTTGATTGCAACTGCCTGGACCTATTCAATCCGATAGGCCTATCAAAAACAAAACACATAGGAAATTCCCCATATATTGAATATTTCTTGATTCTTTACCTAATTTAGAGAAATCAAAGATTCTTATCATATAAGAAGGCAGCAATAACTTACGCTTATGATTATTAACCTATTGTTTATTTGAATATCGGGAATAGGCCTTTACTACCTAAATAGGACGCGCTTGGATGTTAATGTTAAAATATGCCAAGAAAGCTGTATTGTCATTAACAATGTTGATCTATACATTTTTCCGAAAGTGACAAGGCAGTCCAAGGATAGGCCTATAGCTATAACACGTTTATTGCATTTGATTGCATGATACTTATGGTGCTACTCGTGGCGGTACAGTTCTAGGCCTATATTGATTTATCTTTGAAACAAGTGTCTCTGCGTTATATTCTTACCTCCCGAGTGGCGCAGTGGTCTAAGGCACTGCATCGCAGTGCTAGCTGTGCCACTAGAGATCCTGGTTCGAATCCAGGCTCTGTCGTAGCCGGCCGCAACCGGGAGACCCATGGGGCGGCGTACAATTGGCCCAGCGTCGTCCAGGGTAGGGGAGGGAATGGCCGGCAGGGGATGTAGCTCAGTTGGTAGAGCATGGCGTTTGCAACGCCAGGGTTGTGGGTTCGATAAAATAATGTATGTGCTAACTGTAAGTCGCTCTGGATAAGAGCGTCTGCTAAATGACTAAAATGTAAATGTAAATGTTATACTACCTAGTCAGCTATTGGACTTCGTCACAAACATTAGTGTCCCAACAACTTAAACTGCCTAAAGTAGCCTAATGCACATTTATTTAACCAATACCCTTTGTTATAATTGAACGAAGAATTGTACTTCTTCAAATAATTCATCAACTTTTTAAACATTATTACATTATTGTGATGATCCAATTGACTCGTTTTTTTATTGCACTGATTATGACCTCTATGTATGTCTTCGTATATCTTGTTGAATTAATAAGCTTGATTTCTTATGTTTAAAGCTAAAGGAGGGGTGTTGGTTCCGAGTGCACACACCCTTGACATTGACTTGTTGAAATAAATGGCAAAACCTGAATTTCTCTTCCTCATTCTTGATACAATAGCCCAAAATCCACCCAACACACACACACACACACACACACACACACACACACACACACACACACACGCACACAGACACACACACACACACACACACACACACACACACACTAAATGTTGTTTGACCCCTCAATGAAACCAAAGTTAGGCAATCCTAAACCTTTAATTATGGCAGTTTTTGTGATTATATGATGTTTTCCTAATAAAATCAATGAATTCTAAGAAAGAGAACATTTAATCACAATCGGGAAGAGTGGGGAAAGTTTAGCCATTTTTTATATTCAGCATCACTCCGTCAAGGTAAATATAGTATTCTTTCTAACAAAGATATCTACATATATTTCAAGATGTTGTGTATCCCTGGAAATAGTCAGAATTAATGTATACATTACAGTTTTGAAAACTGTATGGGGTAAGTTGTGCTGTGGGACAGGGTAAGTTAAGCCACCTACACATTTCTGTACCGAATGAAATATTACCACTACCTTTTTAAAACCATGTCTATCTTTATTTCCCAAAGACAATTCAACATAATCACAATAACTTTTTTGTCTTTTAATAATTTGAAGCATCTTTTAACACAGGCTCAACACCTAACAAACACTTAGTACTTTAAAAAAATACTTTTAACATAGGTCCAGGCCCTGTTGTTACCTTATATTCCAGCGATAATGCCTTGCATTACGCGTGGGAAGAAAGCACTTCAATTTGCTGAACTTGCCATTAGCTCAACCATTGGCTCAACTTACCCCAAGGCAACCATTTTGAATATATTATCCCACACAACTACAAGGATGAACTGTCATGCTAGGTTAAGGACCTCACATTGAAGCTTATATAGACCCCAACAGATGTATAGAACAATCTTAAAATGATCTACTTTGGTTTAGATACAAGCATCATGAAACCTCTATAAATTCATTTGACTTCGTGAAAATCAGTTTTTGGCCCTAACTTTTTCCATGCAGTTTCTTCCTTCACAGACTCCATAAAATGATGACCTCTTCCTAAATATTTGGCCAAATGATTAATTTTGTGTATGGTTTCCTAGAAACAAGGGTGGCCCAATTTGCACGCAGAGCTATTCTTGTTTGAGACCTGCCTGTATAGAGGTTGGTGACATCATATACAGACTGGCCTCTGCCTGGGGGCCTCCAAATCACTGTCTGCCCCTGTGTGGGGAAACAACCTGAGGTTATCTTCGTTACCCAATTTGCGTTGTCAGATTGTTCGTTCGTAAATTCAGAGCTTTTCGCTCTCGGAGCGTTCAGAGCGCACACTGGACGCTCTGGCTGAGGAGTACTTCCAGACATAAATGAGAGAACACCTCACTCCAACCATTTTTCTCGCCCTAGCAGAGCTGGTTAGGCTGTTTTCATGTTATCCAGAGCATTGGTGACTCTAACTGTGCTTCTGGCAACAATTTAATAACGCTTTTTTGCCGACATTTACTGACACCGGCCATATTCAACAGGTGTTGAGCGTTTGTAAATTCATCAGTTATTCTGCACTCTGGCACAGTCAGACGTGAGTGCTCTGAAATTGGAGTAGATAGGGTGAATTTACGAACGCACCCCCAGTCTGAGTGTGCCAGAGCACAGAATAACTGATGAATTTATGAACGTGCAACATCCGTTGAATATGACCGGTGTAGGTAAATGTTGGCAAACATTTTTTATTAAGTTGTTGCCAGTAGTTAGTCACCAACACGAACACAGCCTAACCACCTCTGCTAGGGCAGGTAGCTTAGTGGTTAAGAGCGTAGTGCCAGTAACCGAAAGGTCGCTGGTTCTAAGCCCCGAGCCGACTAGGTGAAAATCTATCGATGTGCCCTTGAGCAAGGAATTTAACCCTAATTGCTCCTGTAAGTCGCTCTGGATAAGAGCGTCTGCTAAATGACTAAAATGTAAGTAAAATGGTTAGAGTGCGGCGTTCTCTCATTTGTGTCTGGAAGTAGCCAACATTATTAGCCAGTTAGCTTGGGTACTTGACTGCAGTTGTGAGGTCAGAACACTCGGATCAACCCTACTCCTTGTCCAGTGTGTGCTCTGAACTCTCTGAGAGCGAAACACTATGAATTTATGAATGGACAATCTGACAATGCTCTGGTTACATGTCCAACACAGCTGCTTTTCGGCATTTTACAATGTGGGTCAATGGGAAATAATATTTGTTTTCCCAATTTGTGGGCGTGGTCAACAGAAATGTCTCATTATGACTTGAATACCGACTCGGTGTATAGCTGTCTGGATGCACGCGAAGATAAACACCATGCATGTGTTTTGCGGGGACATTTTTTATGTATTTTGTAGTCAAAAGTCTACATCGCGCCTACCTCTTCAACACATCATCACCACTATACAGTTTAGAGGTATAAAATCACTAGATATCTTAGTTTTATTTTATCTAAATCTAAATTATCTCAATTTTAAGAGGACAGTCGG